TCTAAAACATGATGTCTGACACAATACGTGTTTAGTATGGGGGTGTTCCATAGTCATCATCGATGTATACTAATAAGTCATACACTGAGCACATTGATCATATGCCTATGCCATTAGGGTACCAACCCTTGAAGTTTCAACAATTTGATGGAAAAGGTAACCCCAAACAACATATTGTACACTTCATGGAGACATGCAACAGTGATGGGACCTACAACGATTTGATGCTAACACAATTTGTGCAATCTTTATGAGGGAGCACATTTGATTGATACACTAACCTCCCTTCCGGGTCAAATGACAGTGGGGACCAATTAGAAAGAGAGTTCTTGGATCACTTCTATAGTACTTGACATACTATAAGCATGTATGAACTCACTACCACAAAACAAAATAAAGGTGAACCAATTGTTGACTATATTGACAGGTGGAGAAGTCTCAAACTTAACAATTGAGACAAGCTCACTGAGGCGTCAAACATAGAGAGAGGTAAAAGCATTTAATCCAAAGGAAGTTTTAACAACTTCAGTGGCCCCTCTTTGGGCTTCTGGGAGAAAAAGGGGTAAGGAAGAGATAAAGTCAATCACTCATCAAAGTGTACCTGTTCCTGAACTCTGATGTGCCAGGGATGCTAGATGGTCTACTAGCCCAAAAGTTAATATGCTTCTTGATTGCAAGCACCCAAAAGAAGAGGGGCAGACTGACCACCCCAAGTATTGCCGCTACCATTGGATAATCAATCACCTAGTCAAAAAGTGTCTTGTTCTCAAAGACAAAATAATGCAGTTAGCTAAATTAGGAATGATTGAACCGGATATAAATGAGGATACAATAGCTACCAACATGACAATTGTCACATTTGGGTCCACTGATCCTAAGTCTCCCTTGGGAACTTACCAGTCATTAGTCGTACTGCCATATAAAATCATGTTTGGTACTTTTGACCCCGTCATAAGTGATCCCACATCAGGGGCACTATTAAGCTAAATACAAGTGCAAGTTCTTAGTTATGAAGAAATTCCTTCCCCTGTTCTACCATATCACTCTTAGATGATGAGGGTTGGATTTTCGTCACTCGATAAAAGCGTCGTGTTACACGTCTACCCAATCTACTTTGTGAGCAACCTAAGCAAGTCAGAAGGATTCGATCAAATATACCACCCAAGAATAAGAAAGTGAGGGGAAAAGGCATCTTTGCTCAACTAGCATGCGAGGTAACAAATAAAAGTTTGCAACAAACCCCTCGCTTCCCAATCACTCTTCAAGAGTATATGCCAAGAAGTTTCTTTTCTAGTGAGTATGCAGAGGTGCATACAGTAACATGTTATGCGATGCTTAAGGAAGATGTGTCTCCAAAAGAGAATGAATCACCAAAGTTGGGATGAAGTAAATATAGCAAAATTATGGATATTGATGAGGTCTTCGACCAACTTAATGAAATTCCAACACAATTTAGTTTACAAGCAACACTACAATTGGTAGAAAGGGTTCGACGTGCTCTTAGTTGTATCCTAACGAATCCTAATTATCATAAAGAAAAGATCTTCATTTAAAAGGAACCTGCCTCATGCATGACCACCATTACCTTTTCAAATGAAGATTTTCAACAAGGACCTCATCCTCATAATAGGCCCTTGTATGTCATAGGGTATGTTCAAGATCAAAAGATACATCAGGTACTCCTTGACTGTGGATCAGCTGTTAATATCATGCCCATTCAAACAATAAAATAAATAGGCATCTCTCGTGATGAGCTAACCAGGAGAAGGCTCATGATTCAAGGTTTCAATCAAGGAGGACAATGGGTCGTTGGCATGATCCGCCTTAAACTTACCATTGGAGACTTGACATCTTCAATGCCTTTTCATGTCATTGATGCTAGAACCCCATACCACCTACTCTTAGGATGCCCTTGGCTACATGAGGCATGGGTGGTTCCTTCTACATTACACTAGTGCTTTAAGTACTATCAAGATGGCATCCAAAAGTGTGTCATTGTAGAAGATAAGCCATTCACAAGTTTTGAATTGTATTTTGTAGATGCCAAGTTATATTCAAAGGTTGAGGTGAATTCAGAGGCATTACCACTCTTTGTTCTCTTGTCTAATAGACCAACAAGTCCTAAAGGCATTAACCCACGCCGACCATTCCTAAAGGCCTTCCCTACATCAGTGGTCAAGGAAAAAGGATATCAATCCAATGGTGCCCTAGAAAAGGTAACTTTGGTACTTCATTATGTACCAAAATCTCGTAGAAAAGAGGGACAACCTCGATTTGCAATCGCTCATAAGAATATTGGTTCTATAATTTTGGAGAAAAATCTAGAGGTCTTAAAAGGCACCTTGGTCCTCCCAGTGCCTACATTGGAGAACCCTAGGACTATCAGTTCACCTCCTAGGGGTTTACAAAGGAGTCAACGCCATCATGAGGTGAAAGTAAATCTACCCAGGTCGAGAAACGTCCATAGGGATTATTTGATCTTAAAGTATGTAAACTTTTTGAGAATGTTGTATATGAAAAAGGAAAACCAAAGAAAATGGGTTAAGTTATTAATGAGCACATGACATCATTGTCAAAGACCCAATGTAAACTGCTTGAAAATGGACACACCATAACCCAAGAGCTGGGCTAGGATTCACATCGAAAAACTCCTTGCAAAAGAAAGCCAACACTTGTCATATTATCATTAATTAGAGGAAAAACCCAAGAATCCTATCAACAAGCAAGTATTAGCATTTGACAGAATAGAAACATCAAACCCCCATACCTCAACGTTTAAGCGATTGGGGGAATTAAGAAATAATCCAAGGGAGAAGAATGATCTAGAGGTAGAAAAAGGGAGAGATGAACCTCGCAATTTTGTCCCTTTGTGCATGAAGCATCAGACATCATTGGAGATAACCCTTGGTGATGCCCTAACAGTTATGCAATGGGTAGTGATACTCACAAATCAAGCATCAACTTATCATGGAGAGGAAGAACAATCCAAAGAGGAAGAAAGTGACTCTTACAACCATGTGACAGTGAAACAACTCATAGATGATGACTCCTCTTCCCCTGATTCTAAAGTCAAACAAACAGCGCTTGCTTATGAGAAAGAGGGGCAGATAATTGTAGATGAGTTGAAAGAGCTAAATCTTGGACAAGAAGATAATCCCCAACCTATTTATGTAGGTGCACTCTTAAGCCTCGAAGATGAATCTCAATATCTTGAGCTACTTAAAGATTTTAATGATGTGTTTGCTTAGACCTATAAAGAGATGCTAGGGATAGACCCTAAGGTAGAAGTTCATCACCTCTCAGTGAAATGCAATGTTCATCCCGTAAAATAAGTATAATGTCATTTTCATTCCAAATTTATACCACATATTGAAGTTGAGATTAATAAGCTCATTGAGGCTGGATTTATTCAAGAGGTGAAATTATCCCACATGGATATCCAATATTGTCCCGGTAAGAAAGAAAAATGGGCAAATAAGAGTTTGTGTCGATTTTTGGGACCTTAACAATGCTTGTCCAAAAGATGATTTTCCCTACCCATTACTAAGCTGATGGTTGATGCCACCACTGGGTATGAAGCAATGTCCCTTTATGGATGGCTCATTGGGTTACAACCAAATTAGGATGGCCCCTAAAGATGAACTCATTGCACTATTTATTGTTATAAATTCATGCCCTTTGGGATGGAAAATGATAGCACGTTGAGTGTTATGTTGATGATTTGGTCATGAAGTCAAGAAAGAGAGCTAAACATTTAAATAACTTACATAGAATCTTCAATATGTTATGGCGGTATCAACTAAAGATGAATCCCCTAAAGTGTGATTTCGAAGTGGCATTTGGGGAGTTTCTTGGATTCATCATACGTTATTGTGGCATTGAAATTGAACAATCTAAAATTGATTCCACTCAAAATATTCCTGAACCTAAGAACCTACGAGAACTAAAAAGTCTTCAAGGTCGCCTTGCCTACACTTAGGGGTTTATTTCTAACTTGGCTAGAAGATGTATTCCATTCAATAGGTTAATTAAGAAGGGGGTGCCCTTTGTCTAGGATGAGGCATATGGGAATGCTCTCAAAAGCATAAAAAATTATCTCCTTGAACCTCCAGTTTTGACAGCTCCAATCCTAGGGAAACCTCTAAATTATCTACATCACCGCCCAAGAGCAATCATTAGGTGCTTTACTTGCTCAAGCAAATGAATAAGGCAAGGAAAATGCTCTGTATTATTTGAGTCTAACATTAGTGGGGGAAGAACTGAGTTATTCCTCAATTAAAAAGACATGTCTTGCTTTGATATTTTCAATGAAAAAGTTGCACTATTACATGCTAGAACATACAATCCACTTGATCTCGCGAGTTGACCCACTTAAATACATTGTGTCTAAGCCAGTACTTATTGGTAGGCTAGAAAAGTGGGCTCTATTATTGTCCAAGTTTGAAGTTGAATACATCCCATGAAAGTTGATTAAGGGTTCAAGCACTCACTGATTTTCTAGCCAATCACCCACCATAGCAAACTAGGAATTGCCTAAAGACCTCCCAAATGAAGAAGTCTTCTCCATTGAGCTTGCATTTCCTTTGGAGTTGTTCTTTGACGATGCTACTCAAAAGGATGGGGCTGGAGCAGGCGTGATGTTTGTCTTCCCAGAACGGGTTTATGTTTGTCTTCTCCAAGTTTGTCTCTTTCACCTTGACATGTTTATGTTCAAAAAATGTAGCAGAATATCAGACCCTAATTATTGGTTTAAAGATGGGTTTAGATATGGGAATCTATCATCTAGTTGTGTATAGAGATTCAAAATTGGTCATAAACCAACTTTTAGGGGAATACGATGTGTGTAAGTTGGATTAGTCCCATACTTTCGCTATGCGACTAAGCTCATGAAACACTCCGATTACATAAGCATTGAGCATATACCCAGAAGTGAGAATAAGCAAGTAGATGCTCTAGCTAACCTTTCTACAACACTCTTACTATCTGAAAGAGACTCAGTATTAGTGCCCATTTGCAACAGTTGGGTCATACCTCCGGTTACCACCAATGAAGAAGAAAGTGAAAGCAATGCCATCTAAGTCTCTCCTAGTGAAGGTGAGGATTTGAAGCAAACTATAATCAATTACCTACAAGATGGAAAGCTTCATGAAAATCCAAAACTTTGAATAGAGGTATGAAGATGAGCACCTGAATTTGTTTACCTAAATGATAAGTTATATCAAAGATCTTTTAATGAAATCCTTTTAAGAGGTCTATGTAAGATGATATACCAATTGCACTAGAAGTTGCCCATGTGGAGATCTATGGAGCTCACCAATCTGGACCTAAACTCTATGATTGGATCAAAAGAATGGGATATTATTAGCCAACCATGGTAATAGAGTTGATGGAATATGCAAAACGTTGCTAGCCATGCTAGTTTCACGGTGAGTTTATTTGACAACCACTTGAGCCTTTCCACCCCACGATTTCTTCTTGGCCCTTCAGTACTTGTTGAGACTGACTATTTCTTAAAGTGGATTGGAGCCATAGCACTTAAAGAAGTCAAGAAGGAAATAGTCGTGGAGTTCATTAGAAATTACATTGACTATTGCTATGGGGTTTTGTGCTACATTGTGATCAACAATGGGAAGCCATTTGGCAACCATTTAATGGACCAATTTTGTGAGAAATTTGGTACTAAAGAAAGGTGCTTCAGTATGTACAATGCAGCTACAAATGGCTTGGTTGAGGCCTTTAATAAAACCCTATGTAAATTATTGAAGAAGCATTAAAGGCCTATCGTACTTCCTACCGTACAACCACATAGGCAAGCCCTTACTCACTAGTTTATGGGGTTGAGGTGGTGCTCCCACTTTAGGTACAAATTCCCTCATTGCGCATAAAAATCCAAGAAGGTCTTGTAAACAATGAGAACACATGGCTTAGGCTTGTAGAGCTCAACATCTTGGATGACAAAAGGTTAGAGGCATAACAACGCTTAGAATGCTACCAATCATAAATGGCTCAAGCTTTTAATAAAAGGGTCCTACCTCACTCGTTCCAAAAGGGAGATTTAGTACTTGCCATCTGTTGGCCAATCATTTTGTCACATCGCTCTAGGAAAAAATTTAACCTCAAGGGGGATGGCCCATGTTATGCAGGAGAGAAGAATGGAAGAAGAGAGAAGAGAGAACTGAGAGCCAAAAGTATTGCTGGCGGTGCCAGATTTTGATATATATACTAGGGCGACAAAACATAAAAAATAAAAGGAGGAAATTACAAGAGTACCCTTGTGGTACTATACTTAGATAAATAACAATCTTTTAACACCCCCCTCAAGTTGGGACATAGATGTCAATCATGTCCAACTTGTCACATAAATCATGATGCCGTGAGTGGTGTAACCCTTTTGTAAAGATGTCTACAAGTTGATCTTCAGAGCTAACATAAGGAGTACACACTTCCCCTGTGACGACATTTTCTCTAATAAAATGTTTTTCGACTTCGATGTGTTTAGTTCTATCATGCAATACTGGATTAGCAGCAATGTTTATGGCTGGTTTGTTATCACAGAATAGTGTCACAGGTCCGTCAACTAGAAAACCCAACTCACTCAACAAATTTTCAACTACATAATTTCAGCCATTCCATGAGACATTGCCCGGTATTCAGCTTCAACACTAGATCTAGCTACCACATTCTGCTTTTTGCTTCTCCAGGTAACTAAATTACCTCCTATGAAGGTACAATAGCCACTAGTTGACTTTCTATCATTCAGGGGTCCTACCCAATCTGCATCAGTATACACTTCAACTTTCAAATGTCCATGCTTTTGGAACAACAAGCCTACACCTGGGAACTTCTTAAGATATYTRAGAACTCTTTMTGYTGCTTCAAGATGGGTAGTCTTAGGGGCATGCATGAACTGGCTAATAACACCCACTGCATAAGTTATGTCTGGTCGAGTCATAGAAAGATATAACAGTCTTCCTACAAGTTTCTGGGACAGTTTCACATCCTTGATGGGTTCACCCTGACAATCACCTAGTTTGTGGTTAGGATCAATAGGGGAATCAACTAGCTTCACTCCTAGTTTTCCTATATCCTGGAGTAGATCTAGGACACTACTTTCTTTGGGAAATGAAGATACCCCTTTATGAGTGGGCCACTTCAATCCCAAAGAAGTACCTTAGAGAACCTAGATCTTTCACTTCAAACTGAGTAGCAAGAAAATTCTTGAACTTTTGAATTCCATCCTTCCAATCACCAGTGACAACTATATCATATACTATCAGTGCTGCAATCTTCCCTTCCCCTCACTTCACAAACAAGGTGTGATCAGACTAACACTGCTTGTGTCCTCTTTGTTGTACTGCTACATGAAACCTACTGAACCATACTCTTGGTGATTGTTTCAGTCCATATAATGGTTTCTTTAGCCTGCACACTTTTTTCTCATTACCTTAAGCCTGAAAACCAAGGGGTTGTACCATGTATACTTCCTCTTCAAGGTCACCATTCAGGAAGGCATTCTTGATGTCAAGCTGATGTAGATCCCAATCAAGATTCGCAACTAGGGAGAAAAGGACTCTAATGGAGTTCATCTTAGCAACAAGTGCAAAAGTTTCTGCATAATCTACTCCATACACTTGTGTAAACCCCTTTGCCACTAAACGAGCTTTATACCATTCCATGGTGCCATCAGCCCTGTGTTTAACCGTTAAAACCCATTTACATCCAACCGGATCTTTCCCCTCAGGAAGATCTACAGGTTCCCATGTGCCATTTTTATGTAACGCATTAATTTCTTCCTTCATAGCATCTATTCATTCAGGTACTGAAAGAGCTTCTACCACATTTTTAGGGATAGGACACTGTCAATGGAAGAGAGAAAGGGTTGAAAGGAGGGTGAAATGTTTTCATAGGAAACAAAGTGGGAAATTTGGTGTTTAGTGGTGCAAGATCCAACACCTTTCCGATGAGTAATAGGAACATCAATAGGAACCAATGTACCTGAATGGGTATGATCCGCTCTCGGAGAATCTGATGGCATTGGTGGTACAACTTCTAGGTGCCCCACAGCTCTTGAACACAGTTGGCCTTTGTGACAATGAAAGAAGACACGGAAGGGAGGAGGATCAGGAAGAGGAGGGAGCTGAACTAGTTTCTCCTCTCAAAGAAAGAGACATCCATAGAGACATAAAATTTCTAAGAGACAAGATCAAGGCACCGATATCCCTTATGAGTGAAGGAGCATCCCAAGTAAATTCAAGGAATGGCATGAGGATCTAATTTGCCACGAGTGGGTGACATATTTTGAACAAAACAACGACACCCAAACACACGAGGAGGAATAGGAAGAAGGGGAGCCTTAGGAAAAAGAAGCTGATGTGGGGCTTTGCAGTCTAACCAACGAGAGGGCATGTGATTGATGAGATAGGTAGCACAAAGGACAGCCTCAAGCCAAAAACATTTCGGGACATTCATATGGAATCCTCCGAGCCACTTCAAGAAGGTGTTGGTTCTTTCTTTCAGCAACACCATTTTGTTGTGGTGTTCAGGAGCAAGGGCTACGGTGAAGTGAGCTATGTGAAGCAAAAAATTCCGTAAGATCACTATGAAAATATTCTTTGGCATTGTCTGATTGAAAATTTTGGATTTTAGTTTGAAATTGGGTGAAAATCATCTACTGAAAATCTTGGATAATTTTAGGTACTTCATCCCTATTTTGCATGGGATAATCCCATGTATATCTGGAGTAATCATCAATAAGGGTAAAAAAATACTTGTAGCCACTCTCAGATGGTAAAGTAACAGGGCCCCAAACATCAGAATGAATAATGTGGAAAGGAAATTCAGATTTATTATTCTTTGAAGAGAAATGAGTTCTACATTGCTTACTTAATTGACAAGTAAATTTTGACACTGACACTGACTTAAACAATTCTGGAAACACAATTTTTAAAGAATCAAAAGATAAATGATCAAGACAACTGTGCCATAAATAGACCTGACTCTTACAAGACTGACTCTTAGACTTTGTGACTTGAAGACCATCCTTATTCTCTAGCATGTAAAGCCCATCCACCATACATCCTCTACCAATCATCTTCCCTGAGGCCAAATCTTGAATCACACAATGATAAGGGAAAAAAGTTCACTGAGCAGTTTAAGGAATTAGTAATACAACTAACAAAGAACAAATTAATGGGAAATTTTATGACATGTAAAACATTAGACAGAGTAAGGCCAAAAGGAAGAGAAATGGTTCATTGACCAGCTATGGTAGAGTATGATCTATCGGCTAGTCTTACATTGTCTCTTCCAGAAAGGAGGTGATAGGTTTGAAAGTAAGAGGACTTACTAATCATGTGTTTAGACGCTCCAAAATCAATGATCCAAGGAGTGTCAGGGGTATGAGATGCTACATGGAAAGTTGTGGTAGAGTTACCTGATGTAGACGCAAATGAAGTTGAGGGAGGAGCATCCATCTGACGAATTGCTCTACCATAAAGCTCTAAATTATCGCAGAAGGGGTTTATAATATCCTTCCTTGGGTTAGATCTAGAGACATGTGTCTGAGTCATAGTAGTGATGGGGGGCTGACTATCCTTTGTAGCCATATTTTCTATAGTGTGTTTTCTTGTACCTTGCTGTCCTGACTTTTTATTCATATTTGAACCTTGATTCTTATTCAGATCTTGAGCCCATTTCGGCTTCCCATGAAGATCCCAGCATGTGTCTCGGGTGTGTTGGGGTTGCTGGCAATGAGTACACCTCAATTTGTCCTTGTCATCCACCTTTTTCTAAAAATCCCCCTTCTTAAAGGTATTTCCCTCACTAGTAGTAACGCTTCCTTTCGCTGTCAACACAACTGCATCCCCTCCAAAATAGTTCATCGAATTTCTTCTACTTTCTTCTGATTGTACAAGAGCATAAACTTCCTGGACGGATAGAAGATCCTTGCTACTTAGGATCTATACTCTAATAGATTCATATGTAGGGTTCAAACCATGTAGGAAAGCAAACACTCTCTGTTGGGAAACAAGTTTTTTGTACAATTTTGCATCTTCATCACACTTCCAGTCCACACTTTGATAATGGTCTAACTCGTTCCTAACAGAGGTCAAGTCTAAGTAGTACACAAATAGACACCTCTCCCCCTGTTTACAAGTGGACGATTCTACCTGTAACGGTTAGATTTTTGCATAGTGACGCAGTTCAGAATATGTTGATTTTGCTTGTTCTCATATCTCATTTGTCGTTTCAGTCCTCATAAAATTCCTTCTTATTTGAAGTTGCATAGACACGAAAAGCCAGGGCATGAGCATGCTGTTTTTCTAGTTCTATCTATCATATTCACTCCCAGAATTGGGTTCTTTGATTCTCCCATTTATATAACCTATCTTTCCCCTTGCAATGATGTATAGCTTGATCCATCTTGACCACTTAAAATAATTTAAGCCATCGAGAGGAATAACAACCATGGGAAAGGATAGGTCCACACCCCTGCTCATTCCATTCGGCATTGAGGAAACATTGGATGTAGCAGAATTTTCACCACTCATGATTTCAGATTAAAAAAAAAAACACTCTTAAAGGGGGTACATAGCCTTAAAAAAATTCTAACACTGAGGGAGAAAGACCCTTTTTTCTTCAAAAACACACCTCTTTTCTGTAAAACATAGGTGTTGTTATAGCACTAATCGGTCATCCCTTGACCTACAAAATCAACATAGGTGTTGCCATAGTGCATACATGTCATCTCTTGACCTACGCATCAATAGGAAAGCTGTTACAGCAAGTATAGGTCACTTTCTGACCTTCAGTTCACCATAGAAGTTGTTGCAGCACACAAAAGCTGTTACAGCAAGTACATGCCACTTTTTGTCCTTCAGTTCACCATAAAGGTTGTTGTTGCAGCACACAAAAGGTCTTGACGACCTACAATTTTATAGGGATCATCCGACCCCACAAAAAAGGAAAGAAAGAGGTGTTGATCACCTCACATCCAATCAATAGACCTAGTACAGGTTCTGCCCTGGCTCACGACAAGAACAAAAAAGGAGAGGGAGAAAAATTACTTTAGTGCGTGAGATCTTCAATCAGCCGAATAGTAGATGAGGGTGACAGATCTAGAAATCTGGTGCAAAGAAAACTGTTCACTCGACTTCTCCTTTTAGATCTGATAGTCCCGCTTTGATATCATGTTATGCAGGAGAGAAGAATGGAAGAAGAGAGAAGAGTGAAAGAGAAGAAGAGAGAAGAGAAAACTGAGAGCCAAAAGTGCTACTGGCGGTGCCAGCTTTTGATATATATACTAGGGTGATAGAACATAAAAAATAAAAGGAGGAAATTACAAGAGTACCCCTGCAGTACTATACTTAGATAAATAACAGTCTTTTAACAACCCACATGTGGTCCAAGAAGTCTAGAGTAATGGTGCTTACTTACTTATTACTCCTAATGGACTACGATTGGAATCTATCAATGGGAAATACCTAAAAAATTATTATCAATGAAGATTTATGGAATTGCTCCTAGACATGAGCCTAAACTATCCACTAGGTGCTCTTAGATATGAACTACGTCATGACTTAATCTCTCCAAGGGTACATAGGCAACCTGAAAAGGTGTAGTTGCAAAATAAGTTATTTGTATAACTCCTAGCCTGTACAAGTATAAACTGTGAACAATTAAATAAAAAAACATTTATGTAGTAATCCTAGCCCACACGAGTATAAACTGTGAATGGCTAAATCAAAACAAAAAAAAGAGGGATAAAGAAATTGGTGAATGAAAATCCTACATCGCAAGAACATCATAGACGATTCAAAAGAAGTTAGATTAATAAAACATCAAGATATCTCTCAAATGTATCATAAAAAAGTTTGCAAAGATTCAATCAATTATCCTAGCCTACTCTAGGCAATTAAAGTTAATCCAGTCGAACACTCCGAGGTCTAAAGCCTTCATCTTAAGTGGCTCTTGAAAGGCTCTGCAAGCCGCAAGCTTCTCTGTAGGAATCATGGTCATTTCTTTGAGTTCTTGCTCCTTCAACTTAATTGCAAATAAATCTGTAATGGAATTTGCGTCTTGACTCTGCAAATTGTGTAAGGTAGATTCCAACTCTTTTAATCCATCCTCTTGGTGGGTCAAATCTTCTAACGGCTCACATCGACATTTCTTGAGGGTTTCTTCTCAGGTGCTAGCATCACTTAACTTCATCTGAATCTCAGTTTGTATTACTAATTGGTTTGCAATGCATTTGGTGATCGATTCCATCCTAGAAGTCTTCTCTTCAAGGGAAATTCCCCCTTCAATGGCTTGTTGGTGGACTAGGTAATTATCAATGTGTTTTAGGAAAACTTTCAACCTGCCTCTAAAAAGGGATAGGGTCCACATGGAATTGTTTCTTCGCAACTTGGGAAACTATTGGTAGCCTCTTGTCAATCCAAGTCCTCATCATACCATGAGGCTCCTTGAATATTGACTCAATGAAATTGGTCAAATATTGTTTCAATGCATAACGCATGATCTTGTTGACATCCTCATCATCAATAGAAGCAAAAGAATCATCCCCCATGCCAGTCTCCGCTTAGTGATTACCAACAACTACCTGTGGAATCACCTTCTCTAGAGTTGCAATTCTCTTGCCTACAAAATAGGTTAACAAAGAAAGCATACATTAAATAGATATAACTAAGTAATAATTAATCGAAAAAAAAGGAGAGGGAAAGGGGAATTGTATCTTGTTGACCTATAGGCACAGATTGGCCATGGTGAGAAAAAGAACTACCATCATTAGAATCCATCAAGATAGGGATGCGTGTCCCTCTTGAAAGTAAATTTTGTGACCCCCTAGGCTTAGTGGCCAACATTTTCCTCGCATCTTTTACAGGGGGTGTCGATGATGAGATTTTATTCAACTTATTGCACTTAGAGGCAGAGTCATTTTTATGCTAGCACTTTAAAGGGGCTGAAGGTGGAACAACATTTATCCTTGATTGAGCATCATCCACTTTTTCCTCTTCCCTTGTCTTCACTTTTTTTTATCATGAGCATTTCTCATGACAAGCTTGTGCTCTTGGGCCCTGGTGAGGTCAACACGATAAAAGTTTGTCTCATTAGCTAGCAAGAATTTCGATCCTAAGTTGTTGTAAAACTGGAAAAACCTCACTATACCACTAGCCTGAATAGGTTGTTGTGGTTGAACATTAGGGTCTCTAAGATGTGGTGGCACAATGAATTTAAACCTAGTGTCCTTTTTCAAAAGAGACCTCCAACAATGATAAGCTTTGACTGCATCAGGATTGACTTGCTGGTAGTTGGGAGATCCAGGTGTGGTTTGATAAAATCCAAATTGGCAAGCAAATGGTGTGGCTATACAATTTAGATTTCACCATGGAATTTCTCCCCCATTATAGAAATTCTGGACGTGTACTGATCAAAAACTCTAATTCTTCAAAAGGAAGATTTATGTCACACCTCTCCCTACTGTTTGCAAATGAAGGGACGTTGACGTCCAATTGTCAATAAAAGTCCTGAAAAGTCCTAACCTTGTGATGAGCTTCTTTACCAGGGTGCTCTGAATGCATAAATGCATTGCTAGTACCATGAGGGGTAATCATAGGAACAGATTGTTGGGAGTCAAACCTATGATACTTTCTTAAAATATAGGCTATGTATATAAGAAATGTGCTGGAACGATATGTGCACACTAGCCTAATCGCTAACAAGAAAGATAAGTTGATGAGAGGCCTTGATAAATGGAGGCTAGTACATGTGGGGCAAGACTGTAATGAACACCTTGAGCCATCTTTGAAGCTGCTTTATACACTATGAGACAAATCAAATTCTTACTACATGAGGGAAGGAGAAAAGGACATATCCATAATGATAAATAGGCAATCGAGAATGTTTATCTTTCAATAATAAGACCACACTCAAAAGCTAAGCATTCAAAGGGTGTCTTCTCATTCTTCGTCCTATGAAAATGGATACATTTCTTTGGCTCATTCAAAGGTAAGGGAAGGCTGGACCGATCTTTATTACACCGTGAACCCAAAAGGCAATTCAATTCTTGATGAGAGGGGGGTTCAGGAACCCTTTCTAATCCCATGAACCAACACTCAAGCCATTCATCTTGGCTCACCTTCTCATTGTTACATTTCCCTAACTCTTGAATTGTCTTGGTAGCACTGCCTCAATGCTTAGCGATGCCTCCTTCATCAACCAAGGATAGGCTTTATAGAGTTGCTTACAACTCTTTGCAAGGTGCCTATTGCATTTTTTATCAATCCATGTCAACTCTTCAACGCATGGATTAATTTCTTCAATGAATTTGCCATAAATGAGGAGTCTAACAATCTGTTTTAGGTCCCATAAAAGTGTTTGTGTCCCTACACCAAGATTCACATAGGGCATGATATATTCTAATGGGTCTATCATAATCATAAGTAGATGCCAAAACAGAGGGATAATTCCCAGCCATCTCTAGCTCTGTACGATATTCCCAAAGTATAACACGACCCCAATACCAAAAACCACTCATCCAATAAGACTCACCATTGGGACTCAAGTCAGAACCCCAACGAATTAGGTTGTCAACAATCTTTTGCGCAAAAGTCAGGGTCGGGACTAGTGAATGCACAGAGTTATGATGAGTGCTATCACATTGTGAAGGCATAATACATGCTCGGAGAGTACTTGGGCAAACACCATCCCTAAAAAACATAGCACCCTCTTGAATTGTTTGAAACTCGCTTTACACATTAACGACAGGAGTGCTTGAATCCCCTAAAAAACATATAGTGCCCTCAAAGTGAGGTGCAACAACACCACCGCTTAATATATCCACTAAGAAAGATTTCAAGTGGGACCCAATGTATTTGGCCAGTTAGCCCAAGGAAACATTAGTGGGTCATGGACTTAAGCTTCAATTTTTGGAGAGAAAATCCTAAATTCAAATCTGTCATTCAATGGATAGATTGGCCAAATCTTGGATTGGGATATAGTGAATCCCATTTAAAAGGAAACCATCACATAAGGGGGTTGATTGATCAACCAAATTTGGAAACCATGGTTAGACAAATAAGTTGAATGTTACATGGGCCCAACCCCATTTGAAGGGATCAGAGATCCATCGTATGGACACCCAAAGATTGCAGAATAAGGGGGCGAATTTCAAAAATTTTTCTCTCCCTTCAACTGGGAATCGCATTCCCTATTTAGAAAATCATATTTTCAATGATCATTCTTGAACCACAAAATGAACCAGATCTGAACCAAAAGGAGTAGGAGAGAATTATACCTGATACGGAGAAACAGTATCCCCCAACGAAGGTGTTCACGCCCAAGGAAGGATCCAAAGACTGCTCCCACTGAAGATGGCGCAGTGCAGGATGGAGCAGAATCAACCGTATTCTTCTCCAAGAATTCTGTCATTCGCAAGACACAGCAGGATGGCACGTGAGCACAACTTCCTATCAATTCTTTATCAAAGAACTGATGTCAAGATTGAATCTTGACTTCTCTCACAACTGGAGATCGAACAGGCAAACAGGGGCGGCAAGAACAGGGAGGCGGCAGGAAAGAATTTTGCAGGGATGCTTAATTCTTCGTTCTATAATTTCAGCACTCAAGAGGATGTGAATATCTCATTCTCTTTAAAGGTTGCCGCCCCCTCCTTCTTTTGTTAACCTAAAAGATCAGCTCCTAATCCAATTAGGAGTTGCTTATCCAATCAGATTTGGATCAACCCTCTCTTTAGGTGATAAGGATAAACCCTTATCTTATCTGGATATTAGATTAACATTCTCCTAATCTCATTAGGAGGTTTCTAGATCTGAATCACATTCAGATCTGGACTCTCTGAGTGGATAGGGTCAAGACCCTATCCTATCTACTAATCCATCTCAGAATTCACCCCATAATTAACTAATTAAATAGCCCAATTCGAAATG